ATCCAGAGCAGCTTTGAATTATTCACAGTTTAGAGTAATCCTCATTTGCTTAGACTGGGTTTTGATGAGGTTTGAACCTTTGACTAAACTATCTCGTGATTCATAGGGTTACAGTCCTGTCAACAAAGCCATCACGAAGCTGTATGAGACACTGTCCTAAGCCGGGAATGATAACACTCCACATATTAGAGAAAAGAAGGAATAAGGCTATCCTCTGAGGAGCGGGAGGCAATTTTCAATAGTCCTTAAATAACTCTGCTGTGAACATTGTTGAAATAGTTGATACTTTATTTCACTCGTCGTTGAGTCCTAAAGGAATGCACGCTCCAAGTGTTGGAGATGGTGTGGATCATCAGGAGCTTGTGTTTTGGAGACGCTTAATACACAAAACACTGAATATATCATTTAAGATTTTGAGAGTTTGTACCTAAAACACTTTCGTGCCATGAAGCTGAGGAAAGATACAAAACTCCTTAGACTGCCAGTAAGAACGTGTATAACCAGTAAAGTCAGTACCACCCCCAGCTGAAGACTGACATGGAGCTCTACAGGAAATGTTTCTTTCAACAAAGGAATGATGGACTGGAATAACTGGAATTCTCTTTTTTGTATTCGAAAAGTTGGGAAAGACCCTTTTTTAATATCTAAGCATCATTTCCTGATAAACAAATCTCTAAAAATCTCCTCTTCTTTTCAAAGATTAACAAATGCAGCAGCTTTTTTTCCGCCTTCAGAGGCGTTTGAAACAATGACACTTGTGTGAAACCTCACCAGAGAAAACAAAACAATCCACCGAGCAAAGAAAAGTCTGCGCAGGTTTACACACCATCGCTTCCAAAGCCTGTTTGATATCGAGCCATTATTTAGCGTCAATTGTGCAGCGACCAGCGGGGAAAACATTCAAAAACAAGCAAAGACAATAGAAGGCAAATGTAAGCGTTGCAGTCGCACACGGAGGCCAAACTAAAGAACACGATGCTTAGAGAATAACGCTGACACTCCCAAAGGCCTTTCCCAAACTATTGTTCATAAACTTACATGTATTCCTATCTTGGAGC